TATTCTGCTGCCACAAATGTTCCAATAAACTATCTGACTGGTGTGTTAACATGGGTAAAGGTTTTTAGTTTCCCCACAGCGATCTGACTCTTTTTCTGCTTCTGCAGTTGCTTCCAGAGGACATGCTCACTGAGCGTTCATCCTGATTTGTTTGTAGAAAGTTCAAAGGTCAAGCCTGCTCTTTACTTGAGCGTCCATTCTGATTTCCTTGCAGGGAGGTTATACAATGCTGCATCAAATAATTGTTGTTCTACACATTCCAGTGTGTTTCCTTGTCACTTTCCTTATTGCAAAATGTCCAGTTTGGGATGGAACTGGGTTTATTGGCCCGCAGCATCATATTCAACTTTAATTGTGCAACCTGAATCTGCTGGGATGTGATTGAATCTCTCTCCCCCACCCCCCCCCCCCACCCAAAATAGCAGCAGTCTAGAAGTGCCTTGTGTCAGAAGTGGCTAGATTTCGAGCACTGCTGGGGAGCCAGCAACCCACAGGCTGCAAAGTCTTTCAAACCAGCTTGCATCATAGGTCCCATCCTTCTTTCCAGCCTTGCCCCTGCCCCACAATGGCCACTCCCCTTCTTGCCAGGACTTACAATATGCAAAGCTATTTGGTGATCTAAAGGCAATGCCAAAAGTGTGCACCTCACCATGATCTCTAATTCTTATATTCAGGCCCTTGGGAAATTCAGGCACAGGGAAAGAGATCAGAGCCCAGCTCCCAGCAACAGTACCAGCTCACCTTAAATTCATTCCCACAAAATTAGGGGAGGGAAGAACTCATGAATAAGTTCTGGGTCCTCTGCTCTTAGGAGAGAAACCCATAGTTCATACAGGAGCATTTCCTTGTTTTCTGAATTTGCAGAATGGGTGCCTCCAGGCAGACTTTTTCTTTATCTCATTGTGTCTCCTGCATTGTTGCCAAATGGGGAAATGTTCATCACACACATTTTGCCATCTAGTACCAAAGAAATCTCGTATACAAAATACATAGCAAGAACTTACTCTTTGAATTGATTGTCTCCTGCTAGAAAACCAAAGGTTCATTCTTGCCACAGCCTGTTGCTCGCCTTTCATCATGCATTATGATGATAAGTACATTGCATTAGTGGTTTACTACATGAACTTGTGAGAGTCAGGAGCACATTGTTTTCAGAGTTCCCTGTCAATAGCCTAGCATCCTTCTGGGTGCGATAAAAGTGGCAGTGATCAAAGGAACAAAAGCGTTAATTACAAAGGCGTTTGGATTTGGGGGTTGCTCATAATTAGCCATATTGACCCCAGTGTCTCTGTGTTACAGACACAGAAAGATTTTTGCCCAGCTGCTGTTTTGCAGAACTATGATTTCAGATGAGAGAGAGAGAGAGATAGTTAAGGGCACCACAAATAGTGCTTGTCTTCCAGCAGCAGTGGATAACCTCCAGAGTCCTAGCACTTACCATTCATCAGGTGGTCTCAACCCACAATTTGAAAACCTACGAGTTAAAAGACTCATAAAAGGGATGGAAACCTGTGTCTCTCCAGATGTTGGACTGCAACTCCCATCAGCCACAGCCAGCATGACCAATGGCCAAGGATGCTGGGAACTGGAGTACAACAAAAAGTACTTCCCATGCATTGCATAAACTATGGAACTCACTCAACAGGAGGCAGGCAATGGCCAACAACTTGGATGGCTTTAAAACAGGACTAGACATGTTCATGCGCCTAGGACTTGCCGATCGCATGGTCAGCGGTTCGAATCCCCACGGCGGGGTGAGCTCCCGTCGTTCGGTCCCAGCTCCTGCCCACCTAGCAGTTCGAAAGCATGTCAAAGTGCAAGTAGATAAATAGGGACTGCTTTATAGCGGGAAGGTAAACGGCGTTCTGTGTGCTGCGCTGGTGCTGGCTCGCCAGAGTAGCTTCGTCATGCTGGCCACGTGACCCGGAAGTGTCTTCGGACAGTGCTGGCTCCCGGCCTCTAGAGTGAGATGAGCGCACAACCCTAGAGCCTGTCAAGACTGGCCCGTACGGGCAGGGGTACCTTTACCTTTAGACATGTTCATGGAGGAGAAATCAATCAGTGGCTGCTACTCATGATGGCTATGCTCTTCCTCCATTGTCAGAGGCAGTTGGCCTCTGAATACTAGTTTCTGGGCATTCCAGGTGGGGAGAGCCCTGTTGTACTTCGGTCCTGCTTGCAAGTTTTTAAAGGCATCTGGGTGGCCAGAGTGAGACCAGGATGCTGGACTAGATGGGACATTGGCCTGATCCAGAAGGCCTTCCTTACGCTCTTGTGTTATATTCTTAAAAACGTTTATTGGGTCAGAGTTTCCCCATCCTTGTTCTGGAAACAACATGCTCAGTGAGAGAGTACAAACATTCCAGTGTAGGTTAACCAGCCTCATGTACCCAAAATGCTTAAGTCTGATTAATGCATAAAGGGGTTAATGCCACAGAGTAAGCTGTCCTGCCAGACTTAGCTAAGTCACTCCTCCTCACCTTGAGAGGAAGTCAAGTCTATTCTTTGTCTCCGTCTACCATGTGACCTCTGACTTGAAAAGAAGTCTGAGCTGGTTCCTCCAGCTTTTTACAAAGCCATCCTTAAGTTCCTGTAACAATAATTTAGGAACTTTCACCCACTTTGGACCAACCGAACTTTTGCTGCCTATGTTTTCTGAATGCTGTATGGAAAAGAACATGAATCTGACATTTGAAGAGTTTGTAAGTAAACCATTTTTAACTCACCAAACATATGGTCTTTTTCTATGCTAGGGGAAGTAGAGAACGTTGGAAGGAACTTAGAAGGGCATATTTCAAAGGTCTAACAGCCCATATTTCCACACTTTACTTTGCTGCATGTTTTTGTGATTTTAAATCTCTGCTGGAGTTCTCTC